ATAGAACATAATTCAAGGCCTGCATTTTTGTTCTTCTTGAGGCCTTAAAATTTGGATTTTTGAGGTATTCCATGATTGGATAACGCCAATCTGTCTGGGTTACATCTATGGAACAAGCAGAAATTGCCATACCACGCATGTGAATAGATGACAGAATTCGTTTTTCCACAACAACAATTCTGCTCATCACGCCTTCTGGGATTTTTAAGCCCGAGGCGATTTGTGCCATCTCATTTGCTTCTGAGTTCAGATCTCGAGTAACATGCCTCAAGATTACATCATCAAATTCCTCCAAGAGCTGTACTGCCAAAGCAAAATAAGGTGCCAAAGACAAACTAGTGCATTTGTACTCACCTTCCAATTGCTTCAAAATTAATTGTGAGTCACCAATTATTTCTACCATAGGTACCTTGAGCTCTACCAACACTTCCAACCCAATAATTAGCGCCTCATATTCAGCTTGGTTGTTGGTACAATTGAAATCTAGCTGAAACGACATCTGGGTTTTCAAACCAGCTAGAGAAATAATAATAATTCCTACTCCAGACATGGAATCTGTGCTAGATCCATCGAAAATAAGCTTCCAAGGAACTAGGCTTATGGAAAATAAATTAATACCTTTTTCCTCATCCGCTTCTACCTCCAGGCACGGATGATCTGCCAGGAAATCTGCCAAGGCCTGCCCCTTGACAGCTTTTTGAGGCATGTACTTCAAGTTGAATTCTGACAAAGCCAGAACCCATTTCCCAATTCTGCCTCGCAACAGTGGTCGAGACAACATGTACTTTATCACATCAGTTTTCGAAATAACATAAACCTCGGAATAAAGCAAATAATGCCTCAATTTTATTGCAGCAAAAAACAAAGCAAGACAGTTTTTCGACCGAAGAATATTTCACTTCGGTCTGTGACAGACTTCGACTTAAATAATAAACAGCTTGTTCTTGCTTTTTACTATTTTCTTGAGCCAGCAGACATCCTACAGATTCGTCTGCGGCAGATATGTACAAAATCAAAGGTTTGCCTCTTAAAGGAGGCACTAAGACCGGCGGCTTTGATAAATAATGCTTTATTTCCTCAAAGGCGGTCTGATGATGTCTCTCCCATTTGAAATCTGCTTCTGATTTCAGCTTCAGCAGTGGCGAAAAAACTCTGATTTTCCTGCTAGATTTGAGATAAAACGTCTCAGAAAATTCACTTGCCCAAGGAATCTTTGTAATTCCTTTTTACTTATAGGCAGCTGTGCTTCAATAACAGCTCTTGCCTTGTTCTGATCCACTTCCAGACCTCGCTCATGCACCAGATATCCCAAAAAATTTCCAACAGAAACGCCAAATGCACATTTTAAAGGATTCATCTTCAGACCATGCTTCCTCATCCTTTCAAAAGCCAGCTTTAAATGCTCCAGATGTTCTTCATCCTCATTTGATTTTACGACCACATCATCAATATAAATTTCCATAAAACGACCAATCATGTCATGAAAGATGGCGTTCATGGCTCTTTGATAAGTTGCACCC